GTATGGCACCTCCTCTGATGCGAAGTTGAACTTGGTCGGATTCAATGTAATGCCGTGCTGCCGGCACCGTTGTAGAAGTACCCAGAGGTGGCGAACATGCTCTGGAAACGACTCGTCGTATGCTAGGATGTCATCGACGACTTTCTGTGTGTTGGCAACATCCGCCAAAGCTATATCGCCACGCCGACAGTACTCATCACCGGTGGACACCAGCCCCATGGGGGAGCGCAGGAACTTGTACCGGCCCCATGGTGTAATGAACGTCATTAACATCAGGCACTCTTCTGCGAGTGGGACCTGCCAATAACCATGGGTGGCATCGAGAGTGCTGAAATAGCGGGCGGTACGTGGTATTGCGGGGACTGCTTTCTTGGGAGTCTTCATGGGGTAGAATGCACGGTCCACATGCTTGCTCAGCTTTACCAAGTCCACGCATATATGGATACCTCCATTCGACTTCGGTACCAGCACTAAGGGATGACACCATTGGGACGGTTCATCTCCTAGTGGTGAAATGACACCTTCTCGCTTCTCTGCCCCTGTGTCCGGGGTAGCCTTGCAGTGCCCATACACCATGCCTGCTGTAGTGTGACTCAGAATGATCGGGACTTGAGGAACTGGAGTATGCACAGTAGACGAGACATCTAGAACCTGGACGGAGTTCGCTTTTGGAGACTTGTTCTTAGATTTCTCACAGACTCTAGCAAAATGACCCCTGACTCCACATTCGTTGCACGTCACCTTTCGTGCCGGACAAGGTCTGCCTTCCGGATGGGCAGGATGGCCGCAATATCAGCATAATTTATTGTCGGCCGTCAGCTTGCTCACCGCAGGAACACTGCAGTACTGAGCTCGGCCGCGTTCTGTGTTGCAGCTTCTTGGCTGCGACACAGGTCAATCACCTGCTGACCGCTGGGAAAGGGCGATAACGCCAACAACCTTTTCCGCACTTCCCCATCCCTGACGCCTGACATGAGCTTGGTGGCCATGCGCTCATCACGGCACGTTGAGCACAAAGCACTGGAACTCGAAGTAGTAGAGCAAGTGAGAGTTAGGAATTATTTGTGATTCACAGTAAAGTGGATGGTTGCGCCTTGGAGATTGGCTCCCTGAAACAGATTCAGAGTTGACGCAGACGAGACCGATGGCAGTGCCGAGACAGGTGCTGGCGGTGGTGCCACTGGCGGCAGGGCCAAATCTCCGAAAATGTCATTGTCAGACATTCCCAGGAGTAGCTGGTCAACAGTGTCGACGGTGTCCGAAGGAGCAGACTGACTGATTACAAGCTGGTCAGCTGGCGTGTAGCTTTCAACGAGATGGTCTACAGCGTCCTGATTCAGCTGCCACGTGGTCGTTTCTTGAAGTGGGGCTGCCGTCGACGCGGTCACGTCAAGGCAAGCAGCCATCCGCTGCTGCTGATTCTCGCCTGGCTTGCTGTAGCTGAGAAGTGACTGGGCATTTTTGCGACCAGTCACAGACATTATGTCGTTGGAAGAAAACCCGTTCTCTTGGAGAACTGTAACACAGGTAGCACGGAGACAGTGATTTGTGTAAATCCGCGATGTGCCAGCTTTCTCGGACAGGCTCTTCATCATGTTGTCCAAGGTATTCTTGCCCAGTGGGGCATTCTCGTACCAGACTCTATCGCGCGGAGGCAGGTTCCGTCGCGGGCGTTGAAACAAACGGTTGCAATATAGATTCAGGTGTTGTAGAAGTATACTTGTTGTTGTTGTTTGTTTATTTAGAGTCGAAGAACAAACAGGCAAATTTGCCTAATAACATGATATCGACTAAAAAGGAGAAAAAAGTATACAAAGCCAATGAAGGTAATGATACTGAGTAGAGTGGGTAGTAAAGTATTACATTGTAAAAGCCAGTTAGGCCAGTAAAGGAAATAATAATACAGCGGGCAGTGGCATTACTGAAAAGCAGCATGTGCTGGGAGGGATCGCATGAATCGGTGGTACTGTGGGATTTTCCTGATGTCAGGCTGGAGCCTGTTCCACAGTGATACACACTGGAATGAGGCAGAATGTGTGCCAGCGGATGTCTTAATGACTGGAAATTTAAGTGCTCAATTTCCCTGACTACGTGTAGCACGGCCGGCATTAAGAGGACTGAACATATCGGTAAGCAATGTGCTGCATTTACCCTGAAGGCAGTGCCAAGTGTAGCCAAGAAGCTTGTGGCAGTACATAACTTCTAGCGAGTGCCATCGGAATTGGCAATACAGCGGCGCAGATGGGGATGCAAATGGAGCGTTGTAAACACAGCGGACTGCGCGCTTGAGTAGACGCTCTAGCCGCTCGAGCTGATGTGAGGTGAGGCCAGCAGAGAAACAGTTGCTAGCATACAGGAAGTCAGGAAGGATCGGTACGTGATGCGGCACGGGAGGGGCATGCAGCGCCTGTTTCTAAACAGGACAGCTATTTTACAGGATATACTGATCGCCAACACTTGTTGAGGGCACTGAATCCTTCCTGCTTGCTTTGTTGCGGTGTTTTCCGAAGCGCCACCCTGGTGGTTCTTGGTGCTGAAGTTCGTGTTTAATTCCCTTCGTTGTCCTTGCAGAGCGTCAAGGATTCCTTTGTCAGCCGGCACTGAACTTCACGTCCCCGGAGGCCATGGTGGTACGTCAGGTAGAACCAAACTTCCATATTTAGGTTGCTTGGCTCTTTCGAGTACAGAAACAACTTACTTGTTAATCTTTGCAAAATCCTCGGTACTGGTAATTGCCTTGGACTGTGTTGCGTTTAGTTCGCCCTGTCGTTTTAGTTTCTTCAGGATTCCGTCGTATGCTTGGTTTGAATGGCGGAACTCAGGATCGGTGAAGATATTCATGTCATGGTCAGTCTCAGCTGCAGTTGTAGGTGGCGATGGATTGCTGCTCTGAACTCCTGGTAACTACTCCGCTGGTAGTACTCTTTCTTCTGTGTTCTTATACCCAAATAAGTCTTACATAGTGCTTCACTCAATTCGTCCTTGGAGCACGTGGCCAGATCAATATCGGTTCCATTGTCGGCAGCATAATCAATAAACACTTTCACCCATCCCTTCGTGGTGGACGATGTGCTCTTCGGTACTCTTTCGGTGATCACAGTGTCCACCTCCTGCACTGAAACGGACTCGAACCGGCGCTTGGTAGATGGTTCCGACGATGACTCGGCCATATTAGGTAAGACACTTCCAAAAAAGGTAAGAGCAAGGTAAGAACTCTACGCTCACTCTGCACAGAAAACAATATAACTGATAGTGCGCATGAGCAGTACGATAGAGCTTTGATGGTTTTTGCGTACCAGGAGCGGGCTTTGATGGCAAATCAAAGCCCGCTCTCCGAGGCCGCTGATTGGTCGTAACCTAGCAAAGGGCAAATGGGTCGTTCGAAATCACAGTAGGGCTTGGTTGATTTTTGAAGTTCGTACAGTGAACTGCCAAAGGGAAATGTTTGAATGGTGCTGGGGTGGGTGTGACATTACGGTGTCCCTGCAGCCGGTCTACAATAGTCGCGTTTGTCGCCACAACCGATTTTGTGTTCGCTGTTCAAACGAAGTGGACATTCGATCAAGAAGGCAGAGGACATAAGAGCCTGGTTGGAGTTTCTCATGGCATAGGACGGCCACACAGAGCCACTTATTATATATTTGAGGGATTCCCCAAAGGCCGAAGCCTAAATCAAGGGGGTCTCCGAGAATAAATATACGTGTACAATACGTGTACAATAGGGTGCAATTTTTAAAAGGAAGAAAATATTAAGATAAAAAGATTAATGTGAAGAGGTTAATTTAGAAGTCTGAGTAGAAGCAAGCGAAAAGGGTACTGGTAAAGAAGGGGGGTAATCAGGAAGTGAGAAAACGTCGAGGATGGAATCTATACCTGTGGAAATGGGACTTAACGTGCCGGCTAAATACACCACGGGTTTCAGATATCCTAATCTCGGTAGGCAGGGAGTTCCACGTGGGGATCATGGAATGTAGTAGAGTGGAGCGGAAACAGGGACCAGTGTGAGTGGGCAGGAGGTAAAAGTGAGGACGTCGTGCACTCTTGGATAGAACTATGTTGAAATTATTGAGGGTTTCCGGGTATTGGCGGGTGAAATGGTAAAACAGTTTGAGGCAATGTATATGCCGCCGCCACGCAAGACTTTCCCATTCAGCAGCTTCAAACACGTTCTCCATGCCATGAGGAATGGACACTTTCCGACGATGTAAATACTGCCTGGCCACGCGTGCTTGCAATCGTTCCAAAGTGTCAATATTCCCTGCGGTCAGTTTGTTATTCCACAGAGGTGAAGCATATTCGATCCGATATCACAATTGTTTGTGATCTACCACATCGAGCAGAAAGGTATCCAAACACAAGATTACCGACGGTCAGGCTGCCGACATGACTGGACAAATGATCCTTGGCTTCACCACGCCAGAAGTCGGGAACCATGTCCTTTGCCGCAAGGTCCATCTCCAAAAAGAACTCCATCTTCGTCTAAAAAGGCTTGAAATACTCAATATTCAACCGAGCTTCGTCGTCTCACGCTTTCTCAGATCGAATCATTTTTTGTTGTAGCAGTTGCAGGGCAGATCCCCGCCACTACTTCAACAGTGTGTCGCTTCAAAGCATGCCTGGAACAAGCCATATCGAGGTTTCAAGCTACCCCTCTCAGCAAGAAATTCGAAAGTTCAATGATGGAAGCCAAGGTTTATTACAAAGAGAATTTCAAAATGTTTGGTTGGCCGAGCGATCGTTCAACATACATCAATTAAACTTTGCAGGATGGTTCTGACCTACATGCTAGGCATGGAACCACAGGGTTTGATGTCATAGCTGACACACAAAGTCACACACACAGCACATTTGTGTGCACAGATACTGAATTTGGGGACGTCGTCATCTTCTTCCTGCTGGTCTCAAATGTACTATGACATGCTATTTCGCCTGATGTTTAAAAGTAAGTTGATCGTCATCAATAAATGAGGTATGCTACGGTATAACTGTAATACACTCACCTGTTCTTTGACAGACAAAATCTTTCGTCGACTCGCAATTATCAACCGCCCACTTATCACCTGTTCCCACTCCTGTACCCACCATTGATACACAGGGGGTTACAGCAGCGCCATCCGGCTGCCCAGGTCCCCAGTTGGAGTACACCGTAGCCATGCCGGTCTGTGTGTTGTAGGTTATGTTGCCGATCACAAAAACACCAATCCACATGGACACTGCCGGCTTGACCTGGGATATGCACGTGTTCTCTACTGCATTTGTTGGTGTGGCCAAACGAGCATCAATAAGGTTGTTTTTGCAATATGAGATTGCAATTAAGAACTTCATGCTGACATTCACATACTGGTACTGATGCGGTGTCGACGGGCACTGGACCCATGCTGCAAACAACACACACACAGAATGAATAGACTTTTTTCGATTCTTGATTTTCAAACTGCTCAAACTCCCGCGCCAAAGCATACCTGAAATCCTCGATAGGACAGCTGCTGTCGTGGTTATCTACTTGTATGATGAGACAATGACGTACATGTGAAACTCGCGTGTACTAGCTGCCCAGTACACAAGCACTGTCTGGGCCATATTGCGCTACTTTTTTTCTTCTTTTTTTTAAGAGAACACAAACCTACAAATCATGTTGAAAGACAAAAATGTACATTGGACTGGGTAGGCGCTATACTACTGCTGCAGTCCTTGCTGATTTGAGCGACACAGACTCACGCTGCTGTCTGTAGTTCGCGAGGTGTTTGTCGCGCAGGAAACAGAGTGTCACTGTAATGCCTGGTTCACACTAGGCCGATTTTCCGGCCGATACGGACTTGTACGAAAAATCCTCAAGATCGGGGCGAAAATTGCCTGTTGTGGACGGTGTTGTCGTACAGGTTTCCGACAGATCTGCGGCGATTTTCTTGTCGCACAAGTTTTCGGCCAAGTATCAACTGGTCGATATTTAGCCGAAAAGCCGACCGATTTTTAGTGCTTACACGTGATGGAGCGGGCATCGGGCCAACCATTGTAGGCTTTTCAACATGGCAGCGGAGAGCGTCGTTGCAGACCGTGAACTGGCTGCACTGGATCGCTAGTAGACGCTAGCCTTTTCACACATTTGACCTTGTAGCTCGTGTAAAACTATATCATGTCCGCTGTCATAATTTGGCATCCTTTCGGAGGTAGGAGCATAACTGCATGATTGTATCACAGTTCTAGTATGTAGGCTACACAATTGTATACAATGCACCTGATCAGTGCTGGTGGTCTGCATGGCAAAGGGTTTGGAGGTCATGCAGATAGTGTTTTCAATGAAAAGCAGGGTAGAAATCATGGAAATACATTTTGTGTGCTCGAACTCGTCTTCTCAAAGTTCTTTCTCACCCTGATACAGTACATGTAGCAGAAGATGCGAGTGAATCAGCCTTTATCAGGTATCCCGGGGCGGACGAGATAGTGATGGGTAGTCAGCAAAACTCCGCGTACATGTACACTATGCTTGTTACGAAGTCATGACGTCTGGATCTTAGCAGCTATGACTGTGCAGGCTATGGGTATTGCTCTAATAATTCAACAAATTGAGGTATAGTTGATGTTCGGTAATGATGGAAGGAGAGCTGGAGTTACGGGAGAGATGAGCTGATTATGAGAATTCGCAGGGTTAGGGTGACATCGGTTGGACGAGTATGACGCTTACGAAGACAGTTGAACATGACAGTTTTCAAAGGTAAGGAAAAAATCTTTCAAAGCAAAAGAAGTCAACTAATGAATAGAAGAAGTAATGTTTTCTCTTTTATTTATTTTATTCCAAGCAATACAGGGCTGGGGTAGCCAATGACCACTTTGCGTGGCGATTGCAGGGTTTTTATAGCCAACCATGACTAACATGGAAAAGAGTAAGAAGTCAAAAAGAAAAGGAAAAGAAGAAAGAAGCAAATATGGACTAAAATTGTGGTCTACCGGTAAAGCAAGGCGTTTCTGAATGCTGTTAAAGTAGAAAGGTCCTTTGTCTCCTGGTGCAGCTTAAGCCAATGCAAATAGCCATTGAAATGGGGGGAGTGTAGCAATGCAGAAGAGCGGGCTAGAGGAAGGGAGAGTTGGTTCCTAGTGGAGTTATCCCGTCGGAACCAGTCAAATGGTTTAAGATGCGGGGTATTTTGGAAAGTCGAATACGATGAATAAGACAGCACATCATGATTCGTCGTCTTTCTAGGAGAGGTCTGGTCGAGGATAACATAATTATAAAGAGCGACACTAGAAAGGGACTTAGGCATATGATAAAGAATCTTAAGGAGGGAAGGATCGTGAGTTTTCAGTTTCTGCTGTTGGGCAATAGATAGATTTGTCCAGGCAGTACAGCAGTAGTCAAAATGCGGCAAGATATATGCATTATAGAAAAGAGCACGAGAGCTGTCAGGAAGATGGGCGCGGTGTGAGTATATTATACCTATGGCTTGACTAGTCTTCTTACATATGTGGGCAACATGGTGAGTCCAGGAGAGATTAGAGTCAAAAATGACACCAAGATGCCTGTGATGATCTACATATTCCAGGTTGATGTCTAGTATGCATGGACACCTTGGCATGGGGATACTCATGTATTTTGTTGTACTCATGGCCACTTGCAAGTACGAAAAAGGCACAATTTTCCGAACTTTGAGGCTCCATAAGCACAACAAAGTGAATATGTATCCCCACGTGCCAGAGCATAATATGAGGATTTTGCGAGCATAACGCGAGAATCCATGAAAGCATAATTCCATGATTTCGCGGGCATAATCCGCCGGTGCCTACTGTGTACTGCGTGTACATGTGTAACAGACAAGCCTGCAACTACAGGTGGAATCCTGATAATTCGAATATGGCTTAATTTGAACATACCGCTTAATTAGAAGTTTTTCCAGGATCGATTTCTGTCAATACGATTCCCACATAAAAAATTCTGATAATTCGAACCTCGAACCGGACATGTCCGATTAATTCCAAGTTCCACGGATTCCACTAACATAGAAAATGTGTGGGATTTGTGCTGATAATTCGAAGTTAGCAAAGTGTAATTCGAAGTTCACTGTACACTGTACTGATCAGTTCAGTTTGCATCAGCAGGCTGTGCTGGTCAGTTCAGTATCCGTGAAATCTGTGTCTAAGGTCCATAGCGCAACTCTGCGTGACCATGGGAGCATTTTGACATACATATTGTGTTGTGGGGTCATGTTTGGGTAATTAGAATGTCCGGATAATTAGAAGTTTTTTGCTGGCATTTTGAGGTTCGAATTATCAGGATTCCACCTGTATACAGTATAGTACAGGTGGAATCCTGATAATTCGAACCTCAGAATGCCAGGATAAAACTTCTAATTATACAGACATTCCAATTATCCAAACATGAACCCACAACACATGTATGTCAAAATGCTCTCATGGTCACGCAAAGTTGCGCTATGGACCTTAGACACAGATTTCACGGATACTGAACTGAACGGCACAGCCTGCTCATGCAAACTGAACTGACCAGTGTAGTGTGCAGTGAACTTTGAATTACAAATTGCTAACTTCGAATTATCAGCACAAATCCCACACGTTTTCTATGTAAGTGGAATTCACGGGACTTCTAATTAACGGAAAATGTCCAGTTCATGGTTCGAATTATCAGAAAGTCTTCTGTGGGAATCGTATTGATAGAAATCGGTTCAGGAAAAACTTCTAATTAAGCAGTATGTTCAAATTAAGCCATATTCGAATTATCAGGATTCCACCTGTACAAGCGAAATTGGCCACCGTTGTGTGTGAACAGCTAGTCCGACTCATCCGACAGAGTGGGTCGATTACTTGTCGGAGTCGGTGTGGGAGCATCGGCCGGAAAATCGGCCTATGTTGAACCAGGCATCAGACAAGCCAGTCACCAACATTGCGATGTGCGAAGTCACCGAAGTGACAATTGTAATGACGCGGAGGAAGTAGCAGACTATGGTCGTGGTCTACCCAAAATTTCAGGACGTAAGCTCGCTGCTACTGGCCCTTGAAGACCGCCTTCATAATGGCCACCATTGTAGAGGCTGAAGTGATTGATTTGTTCGAGGGACTCACCAAGTCTTCAGCCGAAAGTTGGATGACTTTACATTACTAGGTATTTTGGATCGGTGTGCGGACATAGCTGGTTTGGCTGCGCTGTTTGTTATGAGCAGCGGTGACCACTCGTTCTTGTACTTTCTTTGAACAAGCTTCAGTCCGTTTTTGTCGATTTTTGTTCAATATCTAAGGATCAATATCTAGACCAAACTGTCATACTAGTAGTGGGTGAATGAGGTCCACCCAGGTGTAAAAGGAGCCAACGTTGCGTGAAATCAAGAATTTGGCCACGTCAGGTGATATCCGGTCGTTACAGACATTGATTCTCCAAAGTGTGTGGGTTTCTTCTTGTGTGCATTCACAGGAAGCATGAGTTTCGAAGTCTGAAGAAATGTTCCAGTGCTGCCAACCGCCCGTATTTTTGCGGAAAAGGGAAGTTTTGTCCGCAGTACGGATTTCAATCAAATTATCCCGCAAAAGCGAAAGGTATGGTGTCTTCGAAAGCAGTGAAAAATGGTGTAGAAACCGCCCTCCACTTGTCCAGGATCGATCAATCCAAAATCGGGTCGCAGATCAGTGCATGCAGCCTGCATTGCGCAGCACACGTGCATGTACTACGGTGGCAACCTGACGCTGTAACGGGTGTGTGCAGTTCTGAATGGGTCAACATGCTGCTGCGCAAACCGCCCTGACCGCCGCCCTTTTGCCAGTTTTGTTGTGACTTGTGCCATAGTGCGCTCTTTTTGAAACTTGTAGAGTGCAAGAGCTTTCAGGTCGTCGCTTTCGATCAAGCATTTTGCTTCGTGTTCAATGTCAGTCTTGGCCAGATCAACGAAGTGGACAAGCTGTGTGGAAAGGTAATGGTAGGGATTTCAGTTATGACAGTGTGTAGTCATAAGCATGGATTCTGATGAGGAACCTACATTTAGGCGAGAAGTTGGTCCTCCTGGATTAAAGAAAAAGCCGAAAAAGCAGCCGCTGGCTTCAAAGAGTCGTTGTCGCGACCGCCAGGAATAACGAAGAGCAAGAAGGGAATTCACTTCGCTTTCTGCAAGCACTGCAACAGTGATTTCAGCGTTGGACACGGAGGTTTCAACGATATCACCAGGCAAGCTACACAAATAATCAGTAAGAATGTTGCCCTAAAAAAAGGAGTACGCAAAACTCTGAAAATTCTGCAAAATGGCACTGGGCACTGAGTACGCAAGGCGACACTGACTACAAGACTACATTATGGAAGAGAGAGAGACAGTGTGTGCGTGTGTGTGTGTGTGTGTGTGTGTGCGTGCGTGCGTGCGTGCGTGCGTGCGTGCGTGCGTGCGTGCGTGCGTGTGCGTGTGAGACAGAGACAGAGAGAGACAGAGACAGAGACAGAGACAGAGACAGAGACAGAGACAGAGACAGAGACAGAGACAGAGACAGAGACAGAGACAGAGACAGAGACAGAGAGAGAGAGACAGAGAGAGAGAGAGAGAGAGAGAGAGAGAGAGAGAGAGAGAGAGAGAGAGAGAGAGAGAGAGAGAGAGAGAGAGAGTGAGACGTGAGACGTGAATGCAAGATAAAGGGACTGGGTAGCTATGGCAAGTATGGGCGAGCAAGTAGCTACCCAGGCCAACGGAACAAAAGGTGACAAAAGGTGAATGCGAGGGTGCATGCAGGCCATCTCGGAAAAGGTTGTAGAACGTATGGGAGGAGGTACCTAACATACCTCCTCTGCGTAAAAAAAAAAGAACCGCGACCTCATGAAAAATAATAAGACGATGAGAAAAATAGAGAAAATATGTGACTGAGGAAGAAGAGAAAAAACACACAGTGACATACACTCAACACACGGATGTCACAAAAGTGTTATACTAATATGCACTACAGCTACCACGTTCCTGTATTCTAAAGTATTTATACGCATCACTCAAGCTTGCGTAGACATTGCCAACAACGGTGGGCCAAACACCCCTTCACAAAACAATTGGCACAAAAAACTAAGAGGCGCAAGGAACATTGCATTTCACGGCTATGCAGCATCGTTACCCTTCTGCCAACAATGCAACATGAATAATAGAGCATGGCTCACCATCGGACCCCTGATATCAATGAAGGACATGCGTGCGCACATACACTACAAGAAAATGATCAGAAAAATAAATAATATGGCAATAAGTAGGACGAGCTGAAGTGACATTTGGATTACTTTATTAACAATGTAAGCGATGGAGACGATGCAAAGACAATCTAAAGCGTGAGGAAAAATACATGTAAAAAGAAAAAGCGATGAAAAAAAAGGATGATTCGAACAAGTTTTCGTACTTCGAAGTACAACCCTCTTCAGGAATCACCGTTGTACTAAAGAACAAAATGAGAACAAAGGAAATAATATAGCAATCAAGGTAGGGTAGCAAGATACAATGACAGCACTGGAATATCGAGGTGTGATTTCTCACAAAAGTATGCAGAAAACAAGGGTATACAAGTAAGAACTAAGCGTGACAACTGTACATGAGGAATTGACGATGTGTGTAGATCTACTACTATGCAGTCAAGTAGAACGTCGTATAATGCCATTTTTGGCCTCGTAAGTATAGATTATAGACCGGTTAGGAGGTCTATACAGGATATATAGACCGAGTAAAAGACCGAGGTCCCCCGAGGTCTTTTACGAGGTCTATATATCCTGTATAGACCAACTATGAGGTCTATAATCTATTTATCGTGTTCTCCACGCAATAGTTTCTCTTCATATACGACATATCCTTGTAATTCTAGTATTATACTATAGCCTATGCCACACTGTATGGCATTGCAGGATCAAGGTCATTGTTTAAACTAGGTTCAGCATTGGTAGCACAGTGGCTGGGTGGTAAGGAAGAGTGACTGAGATTCACATGGTTGTGGGTTCGAATCCCATCTTGTGTATTTCTGCTTTCTTCAAAAATTTCTTTTTCAAAGTTGGAGAGAAAATTTCTAAGTCCAAGAAATTCTAAGGAGTCAAATATAAGTAGTCAAATATATTGTGTATTTGACTAAGCAGTCAAATACGCGATATATTTGACCGCTTAGGTATCAGGGAAATTAGTGGGGTCAAATACTAAGAAGGCGATAATGCTTTATAATGCTCGTATTGCTCCGGGTGGTGTACAATGCTCGATATAATGCCGGCATTATCCGCCAACACCTAGTATAGTATGTGTTTTTTCAAATTTCCAACATTCCCTGTACTATCCTGAGGAGAAGGGAATGAACACGTTCGATAGATGAAAGGAAGTGTCTACTTGATTGTGTGCATTTGCGTCTTGGCATGCGAAGGTATACAGTGCGAAACTATTTTCACCGCCTTCAAACTACCGCTTGAATCATAACCATGCATAAAGCAATTATTAAAAATGAAGGAATTCCAGAACGCTTTCTCGTGACTATCATCAGTGGCACATTGTCACACAGTAAAATAACTCTAACAACCAGTGCCCAAGTTGTACATTGTACTGTTAAGATACTGAATTCAAATAAATCAAAAACAATACAATACAGTGCGATCGAGGATTAGTACCTCCCAAATCCGGTAGCAGATAATATGTTTCCAGGGGTCAAGATAATCGTATTCCCGCGGTGTGTCCAGTGCAGGCCGTCATAGTTTCGTAACCAAGTGCCGTGCATTGGCGCACATGTCGCGTGTGCAGTAACTGGACCTGTCTATCGAATGGCTTTCACAGCAAGAAGAATCAGGTGAAAGTGATGAGGTCAGTTGCTTGCTTTTTCTGTCTGGCAAGTCTGCGTTCAACACCCGACCCGCATATGCCAGGGATTAAGTTTTCAAGTTCACAGCAGCAAGTGCAGGCAACAGTGTTACCCTATTATTAACTATAGTACTCTCCATTTCCCTGAAGACCTATAAATACATGACATTGTATACTAAAATTAATTATTCTCAACCACTCCATCAGAGCTGTCGTTCAGGGTCAGTAGGCTTCGGCCTGGATCACGAATAACGTTGTTCATGATCCAGGCCGATATCCAGATGAAGGGCTAAAAAGCCCAGGAACCATGGCCTCGTCTAGTCTTCATGTGTACTATCAATCTGGGAGACCATTCAATGCTTTTGACACCAAAAATTGGAGTAATACCACAAGGAATGCATGGAATGATCAGCTTAGGCCGCACAGATATTTTTTCTATGTTTCTCGTCGGCAAATTTTAACAAAAGGTGTGCGGGCGAGCGGAAAAAAAACAAAATCCAAGAAAAAAAACAAGAACAATTTCTACTGAGAACCTTATACATTTCGTATGTGATTCATACAAGACACTGCATGATATACCATTGTATAGAGTGCTAGTCCCATAGCACATGATTGTACTACATTATAACACCAGCCCACGAATACTTCGAAGTAGCACTAGTAGGCAAAGTGCAACAATAATGTGAGTGTAAAATTTGACGAAGAGATGGCGAAGAGAACATACATGTACCTGCTATCGCATCACCAAACGCTCGTCTTTTCTATTTTGTTACTTCAACGGTCTTATGTCTGCTTCGTTAATACTTTTTGATCGCACTAGTAAAACTCTTGTCTCCACGTTGCTCATCCTTTCCTCGCCACGTGTACGTTGTTTAGACATTCTGCTCGCGCACGATCTCCACGATGTTGTTCTGCAGATGCCAGTCACCACAAGACTTGTCCGACTTCAGGTATTCCTGGGACTCGCGATGCTCAGGCAGTGAAGAACAAGACTTAACGCTTCGTTGCAGCAGCCTTCATCGCAGAGAACGCACGGGGAACACTCCATTGCTGCTGTGGTGCAAAAGCTTGCGATTTTTGATTGACGCATCTAGCTGCTGCAGCATGTACAGCGTACATACATGTACAAGTATGAACTTTTTTTCTTCTTCCGAGATTTCTGAAAACCTACGCGCGCGGTGATGAGAAACATAGAAAAAACAAAGTGTGGCCTTACCTGAAAAATAGCAATTCCATCAATGGTGGAAAATCGACCAATTGTCTGCCCCGTTTTTATTTTTGGAGGTCTAAAATGCACGGTAATTAATAATAATTTTCACGGTTCGCGTGAGACTCGGCTGGAAGCCCAGTTTTCCGCATCCGTCGTGGCAACGCCACCACCCTCTAGGATCAAAGGCGCAGATGCAGCGCCTAAACGGTGGGAGGTGAGTAGATCAGACCCACCACCAAGTGGTCAAAGACCAATGCACGGTAACCCCACTCAAATTATAATTATATTTCCAGTTTCTATGAAGTACGAGGATTCCAAAAATTGAATAAAAAGGTCATGTCCATGAAGAAATTATGAAGCTGTGCACCCAGTTGTACTTTGCGGACTGACATTTCTGCGAAGTTCATTTTTGTACCAAAATTGCTATTATTCTGAGTAGTCAATGCTAATTGCCAGATTTTCTTGCTCAATTGCTTCACTGTGATGTGTGAAAGGACTTGCAATCACAAAAAGAAGGTAGAAGACTGGTAAATCTAAAATATGACCCAAAACAGGCAAATAATTTAGGCCGAAATCGATAAATACACCCCACCCCTAGAAATACACCTCAAACAGCCTTATCACCATGGAAACACTCTTTTTGTGGAGTAACATAGGATGATACAGAGTACACTCATCTACAAAAAGGAGGGGGACCATGATTGAGAAAACGAGGCTACCAGGTTCAAGTGCTGCTTAGAAGTGGAAGGATCTTTCCGGCCGTGCTGCGACCCACAGTTAATTGGGAACTCGTGGCCTGGCATGAGGGAAACATGGATGCAGTGAATGGGATTTTCGACCTTCAAACACTTTGTGGTGGGTCTTATCTACTCACCTCCCACTGCTGCATCTTCACCTTGACCCTAGAGGGTGGTGGCATCTATGGGGATGCGGAAAACTCGGCGTCCAGCCAAGTCTCACGCCAACCATGATTTTAATCATAAAGCCACATTTCTTGCAGTAAACTAAGTGGGCTTTGACGAAATGCTCCACCTTTTTTTTCTCCCTCGCTTCCTTTCTGATGACCCCCAGTTATTTTGTTTCCTGTTCGACCCTCTATGAAGTTGTACATTGTACTGTCGAGGCAACGAACTAAAAATCAAACAATATTCTGGGTGGCCTTAGCACAAGTAATCAGTCCTTACCTGCGGGACTTGCTGTCGCCTGTGCTTCCGCAGTTAGCACTAACACACACCAAACACTGATAGTCGACAGGAGCGAGGTAGAAAACCGCCGTTCCGCCATATCTCTCAGGGCCGCCACGGCTGTAATGATCCTCCAGTCCGTGAACGACTTCAATCGCAGTCCCACCCTCTTCAGGAGCTGTTCGACGTACAGCAAACAATCCAGTCAAACAAGGCACTGTTAGAGAGCAGATTATGGGCCAGGCAGTCGCTAACACAACACACAGTACCAGTGACAATCACTTGCTTTCTTCTTCGAAACTCCAGTCATTGAAGGTTATTTGCCTGTAGCTAGCAATTTTTCCAATGACTCCATTCAGCGAAACAATGAAAAACAAGTCTTTTCTCTCCGGCCTCCCAATACCAAGCGTGCCGATGTTTCTTCCAGCACATATCGGTATGATAGTCTCGATTTTTTAGAGAGAGAATTCTCGGTCTAGTGAATGCTCACACCACTGCACACAGACAAGTTGGTCAGTGTACATGTATTGGATGCCGGAGGAGGAACAGGAACAAAATGGTTTAGGACCGACATGGACAAAGTCTTCGTGCCAGTTTGAGGCTTTGTGCAAGTCCTGAAGCGCGGCGCACGGGCGCTATGCTTGCACACTGGATCAGATCAGGATGACAGGGAGATCCGTGACCAAAAATGGCTGTGCCAAACGTCATGTCACTGTCATGTCGGCGCATGTAAAGTCATGTCATCATGTACTAGTATGTAGATCTACAATACTAGTACAATCATGTAGTTAGTACAAGTCATGTACATGTCCTGTCGTGGACATGGAAATCCGGTCGCACGTCTAGCGGCCCCAGGACGCTGGCCATGCAGCCGTGGGGCAGGGTTTTACGACTCCCTGGCCGTGGGTGAGCATCGGATAACGTCCTGTTCTGTACGCGCTGAGGGCGCCGGCCCCGGTCAAGGGACTGGATTTCCATGTCCGCTACAGTAAATGTCTACATGATTGTAGTAGAAGCAGCATGTACAATCAGTAGTACTGAGTAGTACTGTGCGCTGGTGGAGGACGGTTGGTGATTTGGGAGCTCTGGCTGATGAGGAAGCTTGGACGGTTTTCTGAAGGATTGTTCATGGTACGTTGCTTTTTATTCTTCGCTGTGTTGAGTTGTGTTGTGTTCTGCGCTTCAGACCCTATTGATTTCACGTTTCTCACCTGTTTGCTGGGGCTGTCCAGCGTTTTCACCTTTGGTTGCATTCAGTGTGTGCCCTGCAGCATTCTCCTGTGGGGTTTGGGTTTTCATTGTCTCACCTTCTTGGTGGGTTTCGTTGGCATTAGCACTGTTATTCCTGCGCTTATTTTGGTAGGTTATTGCCTCACGGTCCTAGTGGCCTGTGTTAGTTATCCTCCTAGGTCTATAACGTACCATTATATATCACGCTATATAGCACGCCATTGCAATGTTCTGCTATTCTCTTGCTGCCTAGTTGGCTGTCTAATTGGCCCTACTTTGCGGTATTCTCTTGTTGCCGAATCTTCAATCTTAGCATTTTCACCTGCATCGTATGCATCGTCCGCACTTCCAGCTGCCTCATGCCAGAGAGCGATGCCTAAATGTTGCACCTGCAGTGCTCTTGGAACTTGCCAGGCTTGTGTTTGTGTGAAGAACAACAGAAAATGTACTAACTGTGTGCCAAGTGCAAAATCAAAGTGCAGGAATCTCTCCACCACAGTATGTCGTTCAGTCTCCTCCAGCCAGCCAGTCACTCAGCCGGGCGTCTCACCGACGCCAGTAGGTGATGTGCAGCTGCCATCGAGTTGCCCTCCATTACAAGGGACTACGGCAGAGACAACGTCAGGAGGCAGTCCGCTGGATAGATCCTACAACAGCGATGTCAATTTGTTGGCAGCATTGGACCAGTCCCAGCCACCATCATCGGATCGCAAGGGCACGGATCAGTCGTTACATCTCAAGCCCAGGATGCGGAATCACCGCCCACAACAAACACACCGCCGGTTGAGGATGTAACCTCTGAAGTTATTCGCCAGATTAACACCGCGTACGAAGTCGTCGTGAAGTGGAGGCGGAACCTTTTCATGATCCCATTTGGCTCGGCAGGGCAGAAGTTCACTGAATTGTTGGCGCAGTATATTCAGAACTTTGCGGATGGCTCTCCACTTCGGTGCATAGCGTGGAAGGCAGTCTGCGTCGCTTCTCACGTACTGTTGCAGAAGACGCACAACTCCAAGATCATGGCGGATCAGTCAGCTCATCTTCTTCGGCGGTTAGAGCTCTGGAGGGACAACAAGATCGTGGATCTGGTGGCGGAGGGTGCATGCATTCAGAATCATTTACCGCCGATGCACACGTCTTGTTCCAATGAGGCGTCCGACAAGAGTGATGTTGTGTTCTCTAATCTAGTGTTTGGCGGTAAAATCCATTCAGCAATTCGGTATCTATCTCCAGAGTCAGCCGATGGTGCCTTGCATTTAGATGACCCGGTGGACGAGTCTTCAACAAGAACAGTTAGAGATGTGTTGGTATCAAAGCACCCCACACCCGTTGACCCTCCGGAATCCATCTTACTGGAGGGCGATGCAGCAATAGTCAACCCTATATTATTCCAGAGGATAACGCCGGAGTTAATTCGCAAGATGTCTCGACAGATGAAGGGTTCTTCTGGCCCATCCGGTGTTGATGCTGATGGGTGGTGTAGAATGCTCACCAGTTACAAAGCTGCATCTGATCACCTCTGTCGAGCATTGGCGCTCGCAGCGCAATGCTTGTGTACAGAGGCAATACCGGCTTCCGATGTGAGTGCATTTACCGCATCTAGACTCATCCCGTTAGCCAAGAAGCCGTCTGGTGTTCGCCCTATTGCGGTCGGCGAAGTGTTCCGTCGTCTGATCGGTCGGGCAGTAATGTCTGTGATCAAGCCCGACGTTCTACGTGCTGTCGCCCCCATGCAGCTCTGTGTGGGTGTGCCGTCTGCCTGCGAAGCTGCTGTACACGCTATGCGCAAGATTTTCAACCGTGATGATACAGAGGCGGTTCTCTTCGTGGATGCAACAAATGCATTTAACTCCCTGAACCGCACTGCAGCACTTCACAATATTCCAAGGATCTGTCCAGCTCTGGGAAAAATATTTCAGAATACTTACTCAGATAAGACTAGACTGTTTGTGGCTGGTGGCGGCGAGGTTCTCTCCCAAGAAGGAACTTGTCAGGGCGATCCCCTGGCCATGGCCTATTATGCTGTAGCAACTGTACCGCTAGTGCAGAGGTTGCAGGAGGCAAACCCCGATGTCGACCAGGAGTGGTATGCCGACGACGACGCAGCGGGCGGTGATATTAACTCCCTCGCCAGCTACTGGAAAGATGTGAACATTATCGGACCCGAGTATGGATACAATCCCAATCCCACCAAGACAACTCTCCTGGTGAAGCCTCAGTACCTGGACCGGGCTGAGGAAGTGTTCCAGGGGACGGGAGTCTGCGTCACGGCGGCGGGTCACCAATATCTTGGTGGGATCATTGGCGATGAAGATTATTGCCATCGTGTCGGAGACAGGTACGTCAACAACTGGCGACGGGAGCTGATGAATCTCACTGCAATGGCCGAAATGCAACCCCAGGCCGCCTACACTGTGCTAACAAAGGGCTTATCGTCCAAATGGTCCTATCATTTGAGAGCCTCATCGATAAACTCCGTCACCCTGGCCCCTCTAGATGAGGCATAGGATTATCATTTTCTTCCTGCCCTTTTGGGCCAGGGAATGGCAGCTGACAGCTCGCTGAGAAAGCTTCTGTCCCTCCCGACAAGATTCGGGGGCCTGGCTATCCCGATGGTAGCAAAGTCTGCAGAGGCAGACCATCAAGCATCACTTGCCATCACGGCGTCAATGGTGAACCTGATCGACGCCCACCGTAGCGCGAGCGTCCGAGACTCTCCAGCCATCAGTCCGGACCAAAACACGCAGAGCATCGTGGCCATCGCAGAGGGCATGGCCAATCCTGTTCAAGAAGCCGTTGGCGAGGCACGAGGCATCGCCCGACAAAAGCGCCAGGAAAAAATCGGTGGATGCCGGCAGATGCAGACGGAGCTGGCTGAGGGGCTTTCACCGGTCCAGCGGCAGCTGCTCGCAGTAGCGGATGAGAAAGGCGTCTCAACATGGTTAACAGCACAGCCGTCTTGGACAAACCGCACCGTGCTGAAAAAGTCGGATTTTAGAGATGCGCTATGCATACGATATGGTCTCCCACTGGACGGTGTAAGTGATCATTGTGTCTGTGGGAAGTCCATGACCACCCACCACGCCCTCACGTGCCCGACTGGCGGCTATCCGTCGGCTCGCCATAACGAGCTTCGGGACCTCCTGGCGGGAGTGCTGCAGGAGGTACTGCCCGATGTGGAGGTTGAGCCACATCTGCTCCCGCTACACGGTGAGGACATCTCTGCCGTCTCCGCGAATCGTCACCCAGAGGCACGCCTGGACATACGGGCTAGGGGTTTCTGGTCGCGGCAGCAGGACGCCTATTTTGATGTAAGGGTCACTGACCTTGGGCCGTCCTTGCTGTCTCGTCCGGAAATCCTTAGCCACCTGAGAACACATGAGAGAATGAAGAAGGCGGCGTATGGTGCCAGAGTCAACCAGGTGGAGAGGGCATCATTCACCCCACTGGTGTTTTCGACCTCGGGTGTGGCGGGCAAGGAAACTTCTATATTTCTGAAGTTGCTAGCTGCTCTCGTTGTAGACAAAAACAAAGACTTGGTATATTCTGCTGTGATGGGTGAGTTACGCACCCGAGTTTCATTTTGCCTGCTGCGATGGGCAGTCACGTGCTTCAGGGGCTGCAGGGCCTCTTACATTCGCCGCAGGGTCGGGAGCCCCTTTGCGGCTTATTGCCGCCGGCTCTGCTGACAAGGCCAGAGCTCTGACCGTTCGCCTTTGCATGCCCATAGGCATTATTATTAGGTGGTGATTTCGTGTGAAGCTTTTGCGTTCAAATTTTTATATTTCAATTGAGTGTTCTATTTTATTCCGAAATTGGGTTGTCTTTTTGCTTTGACTCTTACTTCATGGTGTTGTGACTAAAACCGTTCTCAAGCATGTACAATCATGTACATGTACTAGTAGATCTACTAGTACATGTAGTGCTTGTAGATGTACGGCTAGTAGATCTTCTACCGTGCTGGCAAATAGCCCTTTATTAAAGGGGAAGTATACCCTAAAATCAAATGTTCACCAGTTGTAGTCTTCGGGGTGCTGAGTCGAATGGTCTTGGTCCGAGGAAGCTGAGACGCTCCCTTCCTACTTGAATCCCAATCGAACTCGCGCACTTCCACCGAAACTGGGTGACTGCGCCCTACTAGATGGGGATTTGTATGCAAAATGTCACTAAAAGCGCCATTTCGTTCTTATAAAAGCACGGATGACCGCGATTGGCCCATATGTTGTAGTCTTTTGGACGCTAAGTCAACTGGTTTTGGTCCGAAAAGGCTATGATGTAACGTTCCTCCTTT